TGTGGTCCCAGCTACTTGGGAGGCTGAGGCTGGAGACTCGCTTGAGCCCAGGAGCTGGAGGTTGCTGTGAGCTGTGAGGCCATAGCGCTCTACCCGGGGGGATAGCTCAAAAAAAAAAAAAAATAGAAAACCTATGGGTAGCGCCTGTGGCTCAGGGAATAGGGTGCCAGCCCCATATACTGGAGGTGGCGGGTTCAAACCCAGCCCTGGCTAAAAACTACAAAAAAAAGAAAAAGAAAAAGAAAAACTAGCCAGGCAGCGTGGTAGGCACCTATAGTCTCTGCTATTCGGGAGGCTGAGGCAAAGGGTTTGAGTTTGCTGTGAGCTATGATGCCACAGCACTCTACCCAGGGTTGTCGCTGTCTTAAAAACAAAACCAAAAAAGCAAAAAACAACAAAAACACTTACAATACACACATACATTTTAAAGTAACAAAAATAGGGAGGCATCTGTGGCTCAGTGAGTAGGGCGCTGGCCCCATATACCAAGGGTGGCGGATTCAAAGCTGGCCCCGGCCAAATTGCAACAAAAAAATAGGTGAGTATTGTAGTGAGTGCCCGTGGTCCTAGCTACTCAGGAGGCTGAGGCAAGAGAATCAGTCTAAGCCCAAGAGCTGGAGGTTGCTGTGAGCTGTGACACCACGGCACTCTACCGAGTTTAACAAAGTGAAACTGTGTCTCTAAAATAATAATAATAATAATAATGTAACAAAAATAAATAAATAACCCTACAGCCAAGAGAAAAAGCAATCAGAAAGACAAGATGTAAGACCAATATGTAGTTACCCAACAGAGAGTTCAGAAAATAAAAACAAAATGTAGACAACATGAATAAACAGAAGGGGAATTTTAGCAAAGGCATGGAGACTATAAAAAAAGAGGCATATGAAAATGCTAGAAATTGGCTCGGCCTCTGTGGCTCAAGTGGCTAGGGCGCCAACCACATACACCTAAGGTGGCGGGTTCAAATCCAGCCTAGGCCCGCCAAACAACAATGATGGATGCAACCCCCCCAAAAAAGCAAGGTGTTGTGGCCTGTGGTCCCAGCTACTTGGGAGGTGGAGGCAGGAGACTCTCTTGAGCCCAGGAGTTGGAGGTTGCTGTGAGCTGTGATGCCA